CGTATTTAAAGTTCATTTAGATTTTCAGTAGTTTAGCGATCATTTATTTACCTTGCAGTCTTAACTTTTCTTGATTACATTAGCTTTTAGGAGTCCTTGGAATCATATCCAGGGCATTTTGTCATATAACCCATTTAGTGCAGGAAGTTCATTCCTCGTTTTTGCCAATCGTCTAATCTTTAAGGTGCAATTCATGACGTTCTTCCATCAACTCACAAGTTGAGTTCCACGCTTGGAAAGAAGAGAAGGTCGTCGGAGAAATCTTTCTTGTTTTGAGCAAAGCAAGTGGCACGTCATTTTATCTGCCACATGTCAAGGAGATTTTTTGGGATAACACCTATATAATCAAAATTTTATATGTATTTATTATATTTAATATCTATATAATAATAATAATTTTTAAAAATGAAAATAAAAGTTAAGTAAAGCATATAAATCAAACAAATTACACATGTTGTAATAACAACTAATATAAATAATAAATCTTAAATCAAACATAACATATACACATAAAAATAACATCTCATACTAGATTTTTTTCTTTTTCTAAGTCAAATATATAACTATATACTCACAAGTTACTTAATACTTGTTAGATTAAGTATTAAGTATATTTATTTGAATATTTAGGTAAATACCGAATTTAAAAAATTACACCTAAAAATTTTTAAATTAAATATCAAATATAACTTATATTCAACCTGTACCCAAAAATACTTACCTTAACATGGAACTCTTTCACTTTCATTTTCTCTAAATCAAACAAGCTTCACTCTTTGTACTTCTTCTCATGGGGTACTTACAAAGTGGTAGAAAACATAATTTTTAAAAGATTTTTTTGTTTTATAGTTTGAGTTATATTGAATTATAAAATAAAAATAGTTTAACAAGAGGTTGAAGAGCTCTCAATATTAAAAATTGTCTTTGTCATGCAATATTAGACGCAATATTAGACTATACAATAATTTTTTATTTTTAAGATAAGGGAAGGAGTTATTTACTCTTTCTATTACAAAATAATAAGCATTTTTTTATTTGAGATGGATCCTATAATAATAGCAGTTTTTTTTTAGAAAGGAGTTTTTCTACCTTAACCTCATAATCATCTTTTAACTTTAATTATTCATTTTATTATAAAAAAATTATTTTAATTTTTCTTAAAGGTAAAATAGATAAATAAAGAAATTATTTTTAAATCTTTAATTTAAGATAAAATCAGAACATATCTATTAGTAGAAGATGAAAGGAGTAATAAGTATGATTGTCTATTCATTGAAATTCTATGAATGAATCTATCTTACATGTAAAATTGGTTTTTGCTATTATCTATTTTTAACAGGCTAAAATAAATATTTTTGGTTATATCATTACTTTATATTATAAATTTATAATTATAATATATTTTTATATAATTAATTTTTTTATTTACAAATCTACTCATAATTTTATATACATCTACTTATTTAATATCATTTTTTTTATCTTAGGGAGATATAGCTCGAATTAGAGATAATTTTAATTCCTCACTTTTTAAATTTATATTAAAATTATTTTTAAAATTAAAAAATCAAAATTATCTCTAAATTTTATTTTTTTATACTAAAATAGTCCTAAATTTGACATAGAATCAATTCAGTCCTTGAACTTTAAAAACAAGTACCAATTTAGTCATTCAACTTTAATTATAAGTACTAATTCAATCCTTTAATTTAGATTATACATCAATATAATGTGTAAATAAAATTATATCATGGCAGCAAAACATGACTATTTGATTTCATATGCTTATAGTATTTTTAAAAATTTTGATTTGATAGTAAGATAATGAATCATGTGACACTTTTGTTTTTGTTAACAAAAAAGACTATTTGGTTATCAAAAATTAAAGCTTAAGAACAATTTTGGTACTTTTTGAAGTTAAAGGATAATTTTGAAACAATTTAAAAGTTGAGGGACCAAAATAGTATTTTAGCCTATTCCATATAGCCTGTCCGTCGACTTTTACCGGGTCCCATGGTTTATTAATCGTACGGTTGAGATGCAACTATGTTGAGATTCTCATGTTGACCATTTTTTCGGATTTGAGTGCATATGATCCAACTTTCCCATCTTGCCAGCCCCAACCTCACTCTGTCCGTCTGAGAGCACGTTCAATTTCTTATCGTCTTTCTTGCTCAAATTCACTTTCCACTTTCTTCAAACGCTCAGGATCAGAGGTCCCAAACTCAAAGTTGAAGAATTTGGACTATCGCCGGAGCGATGAACGTCAGTCGTCCAATGGTACATCCAGTGGAAGCTCCGCCTTCCACGGAGGCGGCCCATAACAGACCCAGAGTCAGGATGAAGGACATGCAGGGCATGCCTGGGACTCCCGGTGGCCTGATTCTCCGCCTCTCTCAGTTCCTTTTCGCTGTCATCTCTCTTTCTGTCATGGCCACCACCAGTGATTTCCGCTCTGCCACTGCTTTTTGGTACTACTCATAATCTTGCGTTCTGCCTTTTTTTCTTCCTTTGATGTAGGTCAAGCAAGGGAATTGCAAATATTGTTTAAGTTTTATTTGCAATTATTTGATGGGGTTTTGGTGTAGCTTGGTTAATGGTCTAATGCAGTAAAGAATACCTATTAATTGAGAAGCTAAAAGGGAATTTTTTGTTACCACTTGCTGGTCTGATGCCATGTGATGTGAGTCTATTATGTTCAACTTAAATTCAGTTTATTATTTTCCATCTATAAATCACCAGTAGGAGCTTCTACTTTGGTTTGTAAGTTTTAACCCATTATGTGCTCCATGCATCAGTTAGTTGTAGGAAGTTGGAACTTCTGTATCTTTCTTTCAGGAAATTCAAGTGCACATGACATGAGTACATAAAATTTTAAACTTTTGTTGCAGTGACGCGTATTATAGTAAAAATTTGAGCAGTAGAGGAGCAGTCATGTATTGAACTTAATTTCATTAAATGAGTTTGACATTTTTGTCATGTTTTGAATGGCAGTTTATGCATAGTATTCTGCAACTTAGAGGGTTTCTGTATTGTGTTAATTGCGACCTGTTTGTGTTTTTTGTATGGAATGGACAACTTTTTGTCCTTCTTGTTGTAACAAAATGTGAATTTGTTATTCCTATAACTTATCACTTGCTTTCACGGTTAGATAGTTAACCTGTATTTTTTTAATTGTGATCTGTTTGTGTTTGTTGCTGTTTTCTTTGCCTTTTGAAGTCTATACAGGCTTATAAAATCTTTCTCATTTCCTATTCATGCTCTACTTTCAGCTGTAATGGAAGAATGTTCTACCTTACTAGAGACTCTTAACATATGCCCAAGTTTTCAGTTCATTCTCTGTATTTCTTATCCATACAGGCTGCTTCATTTAGCTTTGTACAGTTTGGCTGACTCAAAAAATCTGTTGGCTTATTTGGGCAGAGATTGTCAACACAATTTATTCGAAATCATCTCTTTATTGTCCATAGCCTGATTTACCTCTTTGGCTGAGGAAGTATGGCAACTGTTCTTTAGAAAGTATCTGTGTTAATAATTTTTAATTTGTTGGTTGTGAAGATCCAGAAAACAGATAGGACAATTGTTTAATGTTAGATATAAGATGATACTCTATTAGTTTGACTTCTTCTACCTTCTGTGGTTCCTAAGAGTGGCAATTTGATTTTAATTGAGAAGGCAGTTTGATTCCTGTTCTCATTAAATAAAACTCTTCTTCTTCTTTCTTTGTGATTAAAAAGTAAGCATACATACAATGTAAATTCTATGCTTTTTAATGCCTCAGCTATCTTGTTCTTGCTGCTGGCTTGCAAAGTTTCTGGAGCCTGTCCCTGGCATTGCTTGATGTCTACGCTCTCCTGGTGAAACGAAGTCTACGGAACCACTTAGTAATCAGTTTCTTCACCATTGGTGATGGGGTAAGAGAATTTCCCATTATCAAGCACAGAAGTATGGAGCAAAGCATATGGTGTTGTTGGTTTAAGTCTTATACTTTTATTGATCTAGAAAACAGGCTACCAGTAGGTTTGTTACTGTTACATCTCCATCAATTAATAATGTGTGCTTTACCTAAAGAATGGAAAAAGAGTTGATTTAATTAACCATCAGATATAATGATCCTACATGAGCCTTCTTATGGTTCGCCACCCTTGAGTCGGCTCTGAGCTCAACAAGTATTGGCAGGAAACTTGCTCTTCTGATATATTTACAGTTAAATTAGTATATCAGTAATGAATAGAGATCCACTTCCACATAAGTCTCATATGCCACACTTATATAAACTCTTAACCATTCATCTCTTCACTTTCACTGGTTGAGATTTATTATCACTTTTTAGATGAAAAAAATAGTTATTTTTAATAAATCTGAATAAATCTCAACCATTGAAAGTGGAGAGATGAATGGTTGAAATTTTGTATAAGCGTGGCATGTAGGTGGATCTCGATTCATTAGTAATCGCATTTTCAGTACATTTTTAGAAAAAGGAACTGCATTAAGCCTTATAAACTGTCTGACTCTGACATGTTCAATTAGCTTATAGGCCAGCTGAATGTAATGGGTATTGTTTTACTGCAGATTACGTCCACCCTCACATTTGCTGCTGCCTGTGCATCAGCTGGTATCACAGTTTTGATTGGCAGTGATCTCAACAAATGTGCTCTGAACCACTGCACTAGATTTGAGACCGCCACAGCAATGGCCTTTATCAGCTGGTTTGCCGTGTCTCCATCCTTTCTATTGAATTTCTGGTCATTAGCAGCCCCCTAAGTGAGTACAAGTGAAAGTGTTTGTGCTTTTATTGTGCAGCTCCAACTTCTCTTAAAAGTTGATTGAAGAAACATTGTATATATCTAAATTTTGCTAGTTATGTGATTTATTTTACTCCTGTTTTAATAAAGATACACGACATACTCTCAGTCTGGATTACTTTGCTAGTTTGCTTCTTCCCCCTTCCCTATAACTGCAAGAACTGTGTTTGCATATGCGTATAACAGAAGATAATGGAAGCAGAATAACCTGCAAGAAAATGATCCATAAATTTGTTATAAACTGTCAAAGTACAAATGCACAATGGCTTCCAATCAACTGAGATATTCCTATATTTTTCTCTTCCACCTGCAACCTCTTCTTTCATAATTCTATATAAGAACATGAACGGACAAGCGTTTCTGTATAATTTTTAAACTGTATATATCTCCTTTTTCCTACCTCCTAGAGAACACCTGAAAAGTCCATTGTCTATGTAAATAAACAAGTGCAAGCTGCAGCTTCCCTTGGAAAAAACTGTAAGACTATGCCTAAGGTTGTGCTCCATCTAATATCAAACTGTTAGCCACTGCTTTATCTGTTATTAGAGGCATTTCAATTTCACAGACTCCAGCTCCTGTTTTAGTGTTTCCACCTGCTTCTGTAATGCCTCATTTTCCTGTTAACATTGAAACTTGTAAATAAGAGTACCAAAAAGACTCAACAAACTTTTGTCACACAGTTCTGTTCTTAAAATCCCTCTTAACAACAGTAGTTGCTCTTTTAACAAAGTTTTCAGGGCTCATAAGGTGTCAATATATATAGTGGATTTATTTTTGTTACTAAAGCCATGGGAGAAAGTTATTTAAACAGCGAAATCATGACCGAGGTATCTAGTTGTAGTGTTTCTCCCTGAAGAAGATTCTGAATTCCTGCTAAGAAGAGAGACACAAATTACATAAAAGAGGAAACTACATTTGTTATGGAAAAGTTACCTTTTCTAAGACTTCTAGTTTCCGACTGAAGTCAGTGGAAGCCTCCACCTTCCCAATAGACCCCTTTACCTGTAAAACAGAGACACTAGATAAGTACATAAGAGGTGTGACAGAATCAACCTCCATTGCTCCCACAACCACAAAAAGAAAAAAAAAAAAGGAAAAAAAAAAGGCTCCATTGCTCCCACAACCACAGGCACATGTTACATAAAACAGCAACTATAGTAAGTGTACTGCTCAATAAAAATGGGTATATCTTTCCATTTAATTGCTCAAACACCAGAATAGGCATACAAGTAGATCCCTATGAGCTCAGAAAGCTTACTTTTGCTTCTTCTCTGTGAATGGTTTGGCAAATCTATTTGTCATTAATCAAATTTGAAAATAAACAAGAAAGAAAATCCAATGAAGTTGTAGAAAATATCTATACAAGTATAGAACACTGTAGCCTAAAAATTCTCAAGAATTGTCACAAAATAAACAAGATAAATTACCACTGTCAAATCAATACATCAAGAGCAAAGAGTTAATGCAAAAGGGTAGAACTTTGGAAGCAATTTCAACACTGATATTGATTTGGATATTGATAATAATTCATTGACAATAAATCCTCACAATATGATGTTGCAGCAGTTTTTACAAGCTCTTTTTCCCTAGCAAGTAGCGTGAATGGATATCCATCCGCTCCTTTGATGCCATTTTGTCAATGAATCAACACTTCGCTATATTACTTCCAGCCAATTGAGTATTATTAGAACACTAAGGAAATGTAAAGCAACTCTGTAATACTAATCGCCATAAAATCACTAATTCAAACTCTTCCCTAACTCAATTGATGCATTTTGTTTAATCCTAAAATGTTCTATTCTGATTACTGAATATATTCAATTCAAGCCTCAAAATTAACAAACATATTCAAGAACAAACAATGCTATGTACCTCTTCTAATTCATTGGCACACTTTTTCGCCGTCTCTGCCTCCATATCGTACCTGAGCCTCCACTCCGCAGATTCATCTATTGCCTCCCGATTGGCAATCTCAAACTCTCTCCTACACCACACAAACATCATATCGGTAAAAGAGAAGAAAGAAGGAAAATGAAGAACGGAGATGAATCGGAAGGGAACCTTATCAATTCGGCTTCGTTGGAGGAGATGGTGTAATCGATGGTCCAAAGACGCAAGTAAACTGCAAATCCGAACACCATAGCCACCGCCAGTCCCACCAGAATCCGCCGTCTTTCTCTTCCTCTCATTGTGATTCCCTCACTTTCTCTCCGCCGGTTGTTTTTTTCCTATTTTGATTTGCAGACGGCACTGCCGGTTGGGACTTTGGAACCTCCGATCATGGAGTCGGGTCAGGCCTAACGCCGGAAATGCGTTTCTGAGGTCTGGATCTGCTGCGCTCACTTCTATTTGTTCTCAGTCGCAGGTTTCCCAATCACATTCCATTTTCGTTGCGTTGATTGCTCGGCTTTCACTGTATGCTAGTCACGAGTACAGCAGATTACAAAATGAGAAACTAATTTTGCAGTCCATCCTGTATCAGACCGTAAAATATTAACCTTCAAAACAAAAAACACATTGACGAGACTTATTTGTCGCTGATAGTTATAAGATATTAGTGTTTGTTCGTATTAATTTTTAAAAATTAGTGGATGATTTAAATATTTTTATAGTTATTTTTTTATTAAAAATAAAAAATTTTGAATTCAAGTAGTGAAATGAGATAAAAGATTAAAAATAGTTATTTTTTATTATATAATTAAGATCAAAACAAAAAAATTTTAAGATTAAAAAAATCTTAAAACTAGATAATTTTAATAAAGTATTATATAAAAAAATAAAAGATAATATAATTTATATTATAAAAATAAAATTTTTTATTTTTTAATAAAAATTATTAAAATAATATAATTTTAAAATAAATTTTTTTAAATCTTTATAATGTAAGGTAAATGGACATTATTTATTAATTATAAAATGTGAAGTTTGTGCATAATAAATTACAAGTCGCTTTTCCATTTAAAGAGAGAGAGAGAGAGCACCGAATATGTTTTTTTAACGAGAGAATATTCTTTCTTTTTCTTTCAAATTCTTTAAAAAATATTAAGAAAAATTTCCTTTGCTTTTCTCATTTTGTTATGGAAATATATATAACTGTACCATATTTTTTTTAACAGTTTTTATAATATGAGACATTTTATAATTAACATTTTAAATTCATAATTGGTATGCTTTTTTTTTTTTCTTTTTCTTTTTGAAGAAACATGCATTTGTTAGTTCATATCACATTATATTGTACTAAATATTATATTAAAAATATTATACTCATAACATTGTCTTTTTCAAAAAAATAATATATTGCTAGCAGAAATCTTCTATTAGTAGGTGCAACATTGAATTCCCTAATCTCGGGCTAATCCGTCTTTAATTAAACCAAATGCACTTAAAGTCGGGTGCTAAAAAACTAACAATTGAAGATAATAATAATAATAATAATAATAACAACAACATTGATACCACAGTTAATAAAACTTAAAAATTCTATATTAAAATTTTTTTTTTGTAAGCAGTCTATAATTCATTTTTAAAATAAATTTATAATTAACAATTAATTCCATTATCATTAAAGAACAATATTTTTTTTATTTTAGTTGCATAATGAAAAGCAACTATCTCACATCTTTTATCACATTTCATTCGCATATTATGTGAGTCAAATTTAAAACATTTTACTTCTAGCGAAGGAAATTATCCTTGAATTATTTAAGTCGTTAACGACAATAAAATTAACATCAAGATAAAACAAAATGTCTACATCAAAAAAAAAAATGAAAAATGAAAATAAAAGATAAAATGGAATGAAGCATGAGAATGAAGTGTGGTTGGTCCCAGATTAATATAATTAATCTTTATTAGGCTGCAGGAAATGAAGATGTTAGGTGAACAAACAGGGGGCAGAAGCCATAAACCAAGCAGCGCTAGTTGTTTGAAGATGCAATTCCAGCATCAAATTTAATTTAATTACGCTTACTTTGGAAGCCAATGACATGGGATAAGAATAATTGACCAAAACTGGTTTAATTATTGCTAATTAAGTCTTGGATAAGAAAGAAGAACACCTTCCATTCAGGTTTGTTCATTCCATTTCTCCTTAACAAACCCTATGGAAATTTTAAGTTCAGTAATTAAGTGAAATTAGACAGGGTATTTCAAATTTTATTCTTTAACCAAAGTATACTTTGGGAGCGTAGGTATAACTAAATATGCTAGTTTTATTTTTTTATTTAAGAATATTAAATTGATTAATTTTTAATTATTTTTATTTAAAAATATCAAATTTTAACATTTCAATTAAAAAAGTTTATTTATTGAGTCAACATTATCATTCAATTAATTTCAAAATAAAAAAAAAAGTTAAAAAGTAATATTTTTAAATAAAAAAAATAAAAATTAATAT